GAATGACAATAGAATTTAATTGGTACATCCCGAACCCATGTATTAGTTAGTACGGTGGTAATTTTCACAGAGCAAATCTCAACAATTCATGAGCATGGGACGTCTTCCCATCTTCCAGTGTCTTCAATTTATTTCTTCAGTATCTCAGAGATTTTTATTTCTTCCTTGACTGTTTGTTTATTTTTGAAGTCACTGTGAATGGGAGGATTAAAGACTCTTTCCCTGATTTCATCTTCAATCTGTTCGCCATTATTATTAAGGAAGAGGCTGGAGACATGGCTCAGTGGTTAAGAGCATTGCCTGCTCTTCCAAAGGTCCTGAGTTCAATTCCCAGCAACCACATGGTGGCTCACAACCATCTGTAATGGGTTCTGGTGCCCTCTTCTGGCCTGCAGGCATACAGACAGAACATTGTATACATAATAAATAAATATTTTTAAAAAACCAGTATTATTAAGGAAGATTACTGATTTGAGTGTGTTAGTGATTTTTGAGTGTGTTACTGATTTGTTTGCTGTGTTTCCTGCAGTTTTCTTAAAGTATCTGTCACCCAGGAGTTCCCTGGTGATGATACTCGGACCTTTTATGTACAGAAGTACATTTTCTACAAATACAGAATTATTGACTCCCTTCTTCTTTTGCATTCATTTCATTTTATTCTCTCGTTGTGTGTGTCAGCTAAGACTTCAAGCATCATACTGAGTAGGAGTGGAGACAGTGGAAACCTTTGTCTTGTAATGGGGATGATTCTAGATTTTCTCATTTTGTCTAGTGTTGGCTATAGGTTTGCTATATATGCCTTTTTAATGTTGAGTGATATTACCTTCATTCGGTTCTCATCAGATCTTTATCATGAAGGGATGTGGGATTTTGTCAAAGGTCTTTTTTGTATCAATTGAGATGAACATGTGGTTTTAGTCTTTTAATACATTTATGTAATTAACTACATTTATTTGAATTTATTCATTGGTGTGTGTCTTTTTAACCATTCTTGTGCACTGGAATGAAGCCAACTTGATCATGATTAATGATCATTTTGATAGATACTTGAATTCGTTGTACAATTATTCTATTGAAAACTTTGCCTGTTTATTAGATATTACTTCTAAACTTGTGTGTGTGTTGTTAATTTTATTATCAGTGTAATTTTGTAATATTGTCTTCATAAAAAGTTTGGACACATTCTTACCTTATATATTTCATGGAATAATTTTATTTGACTGTATTCATATTTACTCTGAGAATTTCATACATGCACATAACGTACTTTGATCATATTGCCTACATTCTCCCAGTTCAAATATTTCCTGTCTCCCACCACATCCTCCCCTCTTCTAGCTTCATGTCTTCTTAAGCCTTGGTGCCCTGCTTGCCTTCTCATCCTCAAGTTTTTTACTATTGAGTCTTCCTATAATCATTTTACAGAACCTGGAAGCCCTGAATAGGTGAAAATCTCTGTGCCCTGCTATCTCTGAGGTCACCCTCCCTCCAGCCGTCTCCAATACCAACCCATGAATAATTGGTGAGGTTCTTGAAATTTTAATTCTGCCCTTTCTGTGGTTAAAATGCATTTGTTGTAACAGTGTGAATCCAGACACAGCAGCTAAATTCTATTTCAATACTCGCTAGCTCCCACATTCCAATAAAAGGGAAAATAGGAACAGCAAGCAGGATAGATTTACATCAAATTCAATGTCTACATGATGGCACACAGTAACTCTACTTACACAGCACCCTGTGGCCCCTCACATAGGACTAAGTTCTCACTCTAGTCTCACATCTCTTCTCATCCCCGATGACAACAGCTCTTCATTGTGCTACCTTACCAATGTAGACACATGGTCCTCAACTCAAAAGTCCACCACCCAACCCCACCCCGATGGAGTTCCCTCCCCTGTGAGAACGCAGGCTGTGAGGAGAAAGTGGTCAGAACACAAAGGCAGCACTGGCTTGGGTACCAACCAAACACTAATGTGCAGGGGTCTGTACATCACCACCTACCACTCAGAATGTCCATGACCCCGAGACTGGACCCTGAGGGGGACGGACTCTATGAGATGAGATTTTATCAACAGGAAAAGACACAGCCAAAAGAAAAAGCAGCCCCGTGGTAAGAACACACCTGCTCCCTGAATGAGAACAGCCCAGGTGTGCTTGGACAGAGGTAAGGAGCTGTTGGGGCTTTGGTCAGATCCATCACATGCCTGTACATTTTCACCTGTGCCTTCTGCTGTTCTTCCTGCTATCACCTTCATCCGTCAGTACAGGAAGTGCGTAAATCATCTTCAGGTTTATGTCCCAAAGTGCACTTCATTTTAGTGCTGAGCCACAGGAACACCCCTCACATTGTAAAAGCCTGAGCTGGCTGACTAGGTGCTGAATAACCCTGCTATATCCCCGATGCCCTAAAGACCTGGTAGGCAAGAGACATTTCACCCTGCAAAAACGAAGAAGCTCTTCATTGACATCAAGAGGTTCTTCTGTTGGATGGGCTTCTGAAGGTGATAGCGGTTCCTACACGACAATTATATATATATATATATATATATATATATATATATATGTTTATACATCCCTATGATTTCTCTATGAGAGTTATATAATATAACTTCTATATGAGAAGCTATAATCTCTTAACTTTGAAAGATTTGGGTTTCCGATCTCCTTGCTATGTGACACTGGATCTTCCCTCACATCAAACATGTTCCTAGTCTTGGATGCTTCACCATCTTTAAATAGCAACCCAGACATCTGCCAATGTGGAAGGCTAACTGGTCTACAAGGATGTTACTAAGCAGGTCTGTGATCTTCTGAGCATCAGGAACCTACTACCAGTAGCATTTCTTGGAGTCAGAACAGTTAGGTGGTGTGGGATTCCTCTCTGTATGCTGTGAATATGCTTTATTACAATTGGTTAATAAAGAAACTGTTTTGGGTCTATGGCAGAGTAGAATATAGCCAGGTGGGAAATCTGACCAGAAATATAGAGAGAGTAGGCAGAGTCAAGGAGACACCATATAGCTGTGGAAGGAGAAAGGCAACCAGGAACCTTACCAGTAAACCATGAGCCTCATGGTAAAACACAAAATAATAGGAATAGGCTAATTTAAGATATAAGAGTTAGTTAATAAGAAGCATGAGCTAACAGGCCAAGCTTATTAATTGTAATTAATATAGTTTTTGTGTGATTACTTTGGGTCTGGGCAGCCAGGAACAAACAAGAGGTCTCCACCTACGGTTACAGATACTTTACAATCTCACCCTGATAGGATGTGTCAGAGACTGAGAGGAGATTTGCTCTATCAGTCAAAGACAGAATTAGTTCAGGACAAGAAAAATAGCCTAAGTATGAGGAGAAGGTCCCACCAGCTTCTGGGAGCCAGCAACTATGGACTTGGTGGCTCTTGAAAGTGAGGTCCTGCTGAAACCCTCGCGGGAAGGATCACTCTGATAAGTGGACTCTACTCTGTAAGGCTTCATATGTATATATTTTCATTCATATTTTCTTTTTACTAAAAACATTTCTAGCTGTCCTTGCTATGTATGTGCATAAAGATATTCATGCAAGACATGGCATGGTAAGAAGTTGTAAGATTTTCAGTTTTATTGTGCAATCACCCATTGATGTCATTGGAGTTTTTTTTCAACTTGAGGATGAATAAAGCCTTTTAATATTTTTTTTAAATTTTATTTATTAAGTATACAGTTTCTGCCTGCCTGCATGTCTGCAGGCCAGAAGAGAGCACTAGATCTCATTACAGTTGGTTGTGGTCTACCATGTGGTTGCTGGGAATTGAACTCAGGACCTTTGGAAAAACAGTCAGTGCTCTTAACCTGATGTGGGAGTGTCATATATCAATCTGTTGATTTCATTGGTTAAGCAATAAAGAAACTGCTTGGCCCTGTGGGTGAAGTAAACAGAACAAAATGCTGGGAGGAAGAGGAAGTGAGGTCAGACTCGACAGCTCTCCTCTCGGGAGCAGACGCCTGAGAGAGACGCCATACTCCCAGCTCCCAGGCAGACACATGCCATGAAGCTCGACCCAGGATGGACTAGGCTAGAATCTTCCCGGTAAGACCGGTTCTCACAGATTATTAGAGATGGGTTGATCGGGATATCAGAATTAGCCAGTAAGGGCTAGAGCTAAAGGGCCAAGCAGTGATTAAATGAATACAGTTTGTGTGTTGTTATTTCCGGGCATAAGCTAGCCGAGCAGGCAGCCGAGGTGCTGGGGACGCAGCCCCGCCGCTCCTTATTACTACATTAACCACTGAGCCATCTCTCCAGCCCTACCTTTTAATGTTTTTTTTTTTAAATAAAAGAGTTTCACAGTACAGGTGTAGTGCAGTCAAACAGAATGAGGGGTAGTCTCTTTGCACCGAAGAAAAACAATTTTCACTTGTCAAATTTAAGTGAATTAAAATAATTGAATTCCAGAAATTTTCATATAGGCTTTCAGATTATTGCCAATAGAGGGCACCTAAAAAAGATGAATCAAGGATGGAGTTATGCTGACTCCATAATGACAAGACTCACTCACAATTCCTCCAGACTACCATTTCACAGTCAGCTCTGCCTTCCAGCAGAATTATGTGCTAACCACATAAAAATTCACTTCCACAAAATAGAAAGAAAGCAGAACACTGTATTTTAAAGAAAGCTTTATTTTAAAGACAAAGTTTTACTTGATCTTTTTAAAAGTTATATCTAAAAGTCATTCTGAGAATAATTAATACAAAGGAGCTGAGAACATGGGTTAAAGTGTTTGTAAGGTTTTTTATTTTAGTGTGATCATGCCTTGGAGTTCACACCACAGTGTGGCTCTGAAGGGATTTGAGTGTTGGATGGTGTGATGTTGAGGTCCCTTCTGCTCTGCTCCCTTCCCCCACTTCAGACCTTCTTCCTCACCATCAGGCAGCTCACATCTTGGGGCAGGAGGCTCTGAGACAAAGGCACAGTGGTCGCTTCACTCCTTGGCTACTTTACGTTGCCATCCATGTTACTCTGGCTGGAAGCAAAGCACACATTGCATGAATTAGAAAAACTGCAGCAAGGTGGGTTTGTCACAGTTCCTCCCCGGGAGCACCCGCCCTTCAAGGGCACCAGCCATGTTTAAAGCTCATGAAGCAGAACATCTACCCTGAGCAGGAGAAGGTTGTCACCCACAAGCAGTTATCACCTCTAGCCACAACCCACAGGGCAGAACACTTAGCCAAATAGTGAGCTGTGTGTTGTTCCACAGCTGACATGAGTGAGGACTCCAGTTCCTTCTTGGCTTCCCATGGGCAGTTCAGGGTGTGAATGTGACACCATCATACCTGATCCTGGACATCACCACTCGCTGGTGAATAGTCAAATTTAACGACATCACCAACTGGCTGTGTTTGAGTCTTCTCCTCCCCATCAAATATTGGCAATAAAACTTCATCCATCAATTTTGTGAATTCGCTATCAGTCTTCATAGAAAAAGGAAATAAAACATTGAAAACCAACACATTGTAAAAACGTGAAGGAAGAACACAGAGCTAAGTCACCCAAGCCACACTCACCAGGTCATCAAACGCATTCATTTCTAGGCTGATGTCCTCGTTCTCCAGGCCTTTTTTCTTATTATAGACTTCAATCTTCTTCATAAACTGGTCCCATATCTTTCTTCTGTATTCTTCTTCTTTCTAGGGATAATGTAAGTGACATTATTTTCTTCATATTAACTACATACACATGTTGAGCCAGAGGACCTGCTGTGGCAGACAGAGATGAGCCCTGGAGAAGAATTTCAGGAGCCATTCTGCATACCCTGCATTTCAGCAATGCAGGTCACCTCATGTCCATAGCTATTTTAAGGAGTCCTTTGGTGACAGTTGACCCCATGACCTCTTTTATGTCTGTGTACATCTAAGAAAAGAACTAGTACTCCTGAAATCCCTTTGGACAGTTCTCATGTTACCAACCGGCTTCTCATTTGTTATCGTCGCCTCTTGCTCTTTGACCTCCAGAGTGACATCAGGGGATTCAGTAGCTGAGGCCACTGCCAAGCACAGGATGACTAGGAAGACAGCAGGATTCATGTCTCAAGTGCCTGGAGGAAAAAGGGAGAAATCCCTAGTCTACGTATTTCAAAGTTACTAAAACGTTTTCTTCTTTACTGAGATCCAATGGTCGATCAAGACTGTTTGAACTCTTCCAAGTATTTACCTAAGCAATATGTAAAAGTATAAGGATGCGATTTGTTGAAGAAAACATATGGAGGTATTTGTTAGACCACCAACTTTAGTAGCTGCTCATGGCTGCAGGCCTGGAAACAGCAAGATGTATGAGCTTCAGTTATCAGGCAGATGTTCATATACTCCATGATTCCAAAGTTAAAACTGAAACTAAGGACACAAGGCAGAGAAGACCTAGGATTTGTACAGAGTATGGTAACTTCAATAGCTGAGGGACACTGAACATCTTCTTCCAGCTTGTTGCATTGCAGGAGTTACCCTATGTCTTGGACCCTCCCTCCTGAATAATAACAGTCTAACCTCTCCTTTCTTGAGAACCTAGGAACGACAACATCTACTTCTTCCTCTGACTCACAGTTGTCTCTGTGCCCCCTGAGTCTCTGCTTACTGCCTCACAGAGGAAGGGGTTCACAAGGACATGTCACTGGAAGGCAGAGCCACTAGTATGCATGGAGTAAAGAGGAGACCACTCTTAGCCAGACTTTGCATTCTTCAGTTTACCTTCCCAAGAAGATGCCTGGTTAGGGCCATGCTGCTTGGTGTTCTGTCTGTACAGGCCAGAAGAGACCAAAGTTTTAACTTGTTTTGATATGGGAATAGGTAATCTATCAGAATGGGAAGTACTAGGCTGCCATTGTGCAAGGGACAAATGATACTCCCTGTGACCAGGCTAGACTTGTATTCACAGGGATCCAACACAAAGCTAGATGCCTGAGGTGCCTGGTTGACTTGTTCCATCCTCCACTCATCCTCCCCTGCTTCTCACCAAGACTCCTAAGTGTAAGGAGTCATCCTCATTCATGATGGGTCTGCCTCATTCTCCAGGGTGTCTCTCCAGGGCGCTCTTCCAGTTCCCAGTCTACTTTGGCAGAGCCAGGGCTCACCTGAGATGTCCAATGCTGTACTTGTGCACTTCACTGACAGCTCCTCAGTGGTTTCTGGGCATCCAGAATGTAGCCCAGCTGCACACCGTCTGTCTTTAAATCCACAATTTCTGGCCTCAAAGCCCCACCCAACAATCCTAATGTCTTTATGACTGTCTGTGCAGATGACAGCCTTGGGCCCCAGGCTCTATCAGTCCAGATGTTTTCAGAAATTTGATTCCACCTTGTCCTGGAGGATGGAGTGATGTGTTGTTATGGTCAACTATGGGGGAGATCGCAATGGCTCTTTTGTTAAGGACACTAAAGAATGAGCCTTGACATCAGGGATCACTTAGTAACCTATTCTTGTGCTTTGTGGGTTAAGGAAAATTGTTTCCAGGTTATTTTGAATGGATTTTCAACATAACCATGGTTTTACCTTTGAATAAGAAACACACCCTAGAGTAGTATGAGTCAGTGTATTCAAGTCTAGTGTCTGTTGGTTGGAATACAGACCCTAGGATGGATTTAATCCAGGCAGGTCTCACAAAAATAGGTAGAAGAGGGGCTAGAGAGACAGCTCTGCACCTAAGAGCATTGGCGGGTTTTACAAGAGACCAAGGTTCAGCTCCCAGGATCCTCCTGTGGCCCCCAACAATCTTTAACTCTAGTTCCAGGGAATCCAATACTCTCTTCTTCTCCCTTTGAGCATTGGACACACAAATGCTGAAGGGAAAATGCATACACACACATAAATCAAAATTAAATAGGAGATTTTAAATAAAGAGAATAGTTAGAGGAAGGCTGTCTTGAAACAGAGAGGAGATGGTCAAGGCCAAAGCCTTGGGTGGGACAGAGGATGAAAGGATGGGATGAGGTCTCCTGTGAAGCCTCCACTGGTTGCTCATCTTGCCTAGTCTCCTTGAGCAGAGAAACTTTGACCTCTCACATCTTTAGCAACCAATTCATGATATGAGAATCATTTGTTAACAGACTGCATTAATTAGTGAAAAAGGATAAATGAGAAATATGGAAATTTCTCCAATTGCACCCTCTGGATGTGGCTGTATGGAATCCCAGTGTCTTTCTTGACATTTAAGTTAAGACATTTCTGAGGGCAGAAGTGCCTCTGTGAATATGTTTCATTACCATTGTTAAATAAAGAAACTGATTTGACCAATGCTCAGGCAGAATAGAATCAGGTAGGAAGCGATAGAGAGAGGAAGAATGTGGAGTTAGGGAGACCCCATGTAGCTGCCAAAGGAGAAAGATGCCAAATATTACCTATAAACCACAGTCATGCGGTGATACATAGGTTAGTAAAAAATGGGTTAATTTAAGTTTTAATAGCTAGTTAATAATAGTTTGAGCTAATAGGCCAAACAGTTTGCAGTTAATCTAATTAATCTAAATTTCTGTGTGAGGACTTGGGACTGGGTGACAAGGAAATGAATTTGCTACCTCCATTTACACACTTCATGAACCTCAATGTTACAACATGAGACAAAGAGAGTGTAAGAATGTTTTAGGTAGGAGAAAACACGGGTACTTCATTACTACAACCCAGGACTTCAAAACAGATGTCACCAGAACATGACCCACCGAATCAACCAAGCAGGGGTTACATGGCTGCCAGGGACTGAAGCAGCAAGCACAGGGCCTGCATGGGTTTGTATGGAGTCCTCGGAATATGTGCTATGGTGTTTAGATTGGTGCTTTTGTGGGACTCCTAGGAGTGGGAGCAGGTGTGTCTCTGACTCTTTTGCCTGTTTTGCGGACTCTTTGGGTTTCCCTGTTCAGCCTCAAAATGAGGATTTTTGCCTTGTCTTGCTGTATCTTGCTTTGTCCTGTTTGGTTGTCATCTCTTGGAGGCTTGCCCTTTTCTGAATTAAAATGGAAGGTGAGTGGGTCTGGGGAGAGATGAAGTAGGGGAAGCTGGGAGGAGTGGAGGAAGGGGAAACTATGATCAGGATGTATTTTATGAGAGATGAATCTATTTCCAATAAATAAACCAAGGTTCAGAAATGTTCCAAATCATGATTTTCTCAAAAACATAAAACATATATTTGTTATAGAAATCCTTCTTCAGTAAAATAAGCATCTTGTCATTTCTACAATAATATTTTAATAAATATTTTTTTCTTATTTGATCAAAATGGAATCATAATTTACATATTTTTGTACATATCATAATTTACAGATTTCTCTGATTGAGATTCATTGGCGTACCACCCAGAAGCACCATGTGACCTTGACACATATTGCATGAAAGTTCTAATTTTAACTATTGTTGGTATGCGTCCCAGCGGTACTAGCCCTTTAAAAGACCATTTGTTAAGATAAATAATGGGCCTGAAAGATAAATCATGGAAGGTAAACACATGGTCCAGAAAGCCCAGTGACCTGAATTTAAGGCACTCAATAGTGGAAGGAGAAAACTGACTTTGGTATGCCTTTTGTTGACCTCCACATACATGCTCTCCTTCGAATTTAAAATACATGAATAAAAAGTAATTTTTCTTAAATTGCATAAATTAGGTCCCAATAACATGTGTCTAACTTCCTTATTTTAGAGGATACATAATATTTATTACATAGTGTAGTGGTTTGAATGAGCTGTCCCCATATTCTTGCACACCTACATATATGATATACAGGTGGAGACACAGTTTGGGTAGATTTCCATGTGGGAGGTCCTTCTGTCTTGGTTAATGAATAAAGAAACTGCCTTGGCCTGTTGATAGGACAGAACTTAATGTAGGTGGGCAAGACAGAACTGAATGCTGGGAGAAAGAAGGGTGGAGTCAGAGAAAGAAGTCATGGATCCTCCGCCTAAGACAGATGCTGGTTAGAATCTTTGCTGGTAAGCCACTGCCATGCGGCGATAATAGAAATGGATTAAATTAATATGAGAATTAGCCAATAAGAAGATAGAACTAAGGGGCCAAGCAGTGATTTAATTAATATTTTTTTCTGAGTGATTATTTTGGGTGTAAGCTAGTCAGGCAGCTGGGAAGAACAAGCAGTCTCCCTCTGTACTACAAGATTTAGGATATCTGGCATTACTGGGAAAAATATGTTAGAAGTGTGGACTTTTGAGTATCCAAAGCCATGTACTTGCTTTTAGTGAGCTCCCTGTTGTTTGTGTCTCAAGATGTGAGCTCTCAGCTACTGTTCCACTTGTCTGTTATGTCTGCCACCTGCTGTCCCCCCTTTTGAGAACCCTAATTCACTGGAATCAGAAACCCAAAAGAGACCATTCTTTCTATAAATTCCCTTGGTCATGGTGTTTCATTACAGCAATAGAATAGTAAGTGATATATAGAGACACCAATATTTTTCCTGTATATTATCTCATAAACATGTTTCCCAACCAAGCAGGGAAAGAAGACACAATATCTGTCTTTCCTACATGACCAAATGTGGACAAAATTTCAATTTGGCCTACAGAATTTGTAATGTAGGAAAAGCAGTTATGGATGCATAAGCCAGAGAGAGTAAGTTATTGTTGTTGCTCTATGGCACTGGGTTACCTGTTTATATAGAAAATCTATAAAATTATTATTGGATCAACTTTATTTAGACCTTTACATTCTGTGCTAAGCTGGTTTATGCAAGTCTTTGTAGTATCCTCTCTAAGCCAACAGTGCTAGTAAGTCGGTTCTGCAGGAACCTTCAACCTGTCTATCTGACAATCTTCTCTAACTGATCAAGAGCCTTTCCTCCAACTGTGCCCCAGATTTTGTCTCCTCACACGGCCAACAGCAAGATACCTGTAGGTCTGTTTAGTCAGAATCCCCTTCACCTTGATGCTTCTTAACATTATTCCATCTACTGAGTCTCAGTCAGCTCCTAGCTATAAAATTTGCGTAACCATCTCTACGTGACACCTAGCACTCTCTTGCCTCTCAAGCAGGATTCCATGCAAATGACTCCTAGAACCTACTCCTTAGTACAGTTTTCTTAGATATTTTATAAGTA